AAAGAAAAGAAAAAAAAAGGGTTGAGAAGCAGTATCTTGAATTTTAAAAACCAGAAAAGGAAAACAAAATAATTGCACTTGTATACAGACACACTTATGTGTTGTCACACTTCTGGTTTTAGTAACCATATAGATTATTATACACTGTGGCATTCCGGGTGCAGGATAACCAGCTGAGAGCTGAAGATGATATAGGACTGTTTCTCTCAAGAGCTACTCTGAAAATGGCCATTTCTTCTATACTGAAGATTATTAAATCACATTATCCTTTATTCCTTTCTTCTGACCTAACTACTGAGGAGTTTCCTTGTAACTCCAGATGTCATGTTCCTCTTTTGAAGTCACTGCCTTTGACCAATAGTGTTTGATATAGTTTATGTAAATGAGAATCCTTTCCTTGTGTTTGAACATTTTTTTACCAGTCCCAGGTAGCAGCAAATCTTAAAAAGCAATGCTGATTCCCTTTCTATTCTCAGCATTTCACTTTCTGTGGCTTGAAGAATTGGGGAGCAACAGTAGGGGGAACTCACAGATTGTACTTATAAATTCTGGTATGTACATACGCCTACAACAGGCCTAACTACAAAGTTTGAGAAAACTACAGATATTGAAAATAGTAGCATATGCTATTTGTCAGAAATTAACATTTTCACAGTCTTTTTTGACAATATTATGGTTTAAGGGCTTATATAGCTGCCTTAGATCACAGCACTACATTCTGGTATTACAGCTTTAGGTGGAAGGCATGGCTTTCTGTTTCATCCATGGTGAGGACTTTGTTTCTTTAATTATTTTTTATTCCTGTTCTCTTATTTGGTGAGTCTTACAGCAGAATTAGGAAGAAAACTGTATTTAGAAGGGTTACAAATGAGTATTTAATTAAAGATACTTAGAATCTCTCTTAAAAAAATATAAAGGAAAATGTTTTAAGTGTGTGGTGGATAATAATTTACGAATATAAAATTAACATTTAAATATAAGTTTATGACAACAGCGAATGTGGTAAGTTTGCCAGGGGAACATTGCAAGATAATTTTAGTAAAATTTATTTCGAAGTTTTTTGTGGCATTCAAAATATTTAGTGAATAAAACCATCATGAAGACTGGTGGTTCTGTTTTGTTGGGTTTTTTTTTGGTATGCATTAAATGTCTCTTTTTACTGGAACAATATGGTATTCTTTTTGTAAATGTTGTGTATGCTTCAGCAAAGTTTGCAAAACAAGTGAAAGGTAATTTGGAAAACTTTAATAGGGATCTTCAGTAATATGAACAGAAACAAAAATTAGTCACATTCTTTTCCAGAGAGAATTTTTAATTTTCCTTTTCTTTTACAAGGCTATTTTAAACAGAAAACAATTTTAAAGGATTTTTACCACAGAAAATTGGGTTAAAAGCTTTTACCATGTCAGAGTAGAGCTCAAGAATTTACACATTCTATGTATTTCTTGTGTATGCCCTATGTGGTTTTCAAAATAATTTTAAATATTCAGACTATTTAAATATACAGAACAGTAGGAATTTCACATTGAATAGTAGAATCTCAGGCCACTGCCATGGCTGTGCGATTGCAGATGACATCTTCTGTGCTGTAGGGTGGCTGGAAACAGTTATGCAACTAAAGCTAGGTAAAGAAAATCATTATTAAGGTCTCATTGAAAGCATAAGCTATGATGAAAAATCTGGTCAATTCTCTCATCCCTTTTTAGTTTTGCAAGAAAGAGCTATCTCCTGTAAGATAAGAAGCAGTAACAGAAAAAAGCTTCAATGATTTGGCTAATTCTCTACTTTCAGTGCTGCAGTTTAACATATCCCAGCTTCCAAAGTATGTGTACATTGAGATGTGTATATTAGATTTAGGTAAATGCTGCTTTTGCAAACTGTGTGTCTGAGAATAAAAACTTAATATAGTAAATACAAATATTACAAATTTGTCTTAGAAATCCCGTGGAATTTTACATGTATATTTGTACTGGAAGGTTTTTACAATTATTTTAAACTTAATTGTTTTATCGGAATGAAGAAATACCCAATTGGAACTAAATATTATTTTTATAGGAAATTTCTTCAATTTGATTGACATTGAAAAAGAAAAAAACACACAAAAAGTGCTTTTCAATGGTAAACACTACGAATTTTAAAAGCAAGAAGTAACTGTTGTATTGAGTGTTGTGTAGTTTTATTTTTTAGTAGACCTAATGATTTTTGGTAAAAATAGTTTCATAATTTACACTTGTTAAAAGTGGGAAATAACTAGAGTGAAGTTAAATTTTGTTGATACCATGGGTTAAAATAAGAGACCTGGAAAATCTTTCTTCTTAAGCTAAACTGCACATAGTTTCTTCAGTAGCTACTGAGAAGTTTGACAGCTGTGTTGTTTTAATGTTGATGAATAGTCCTCTAAGATGTTTTGAAAAGAACTAGACCTATTAAGATAGGGACTTGGAGAGTTGCACCTGAAGCAGGTTCTCTAAGACCATTTGTCTTAAAACATACAATAGTTCATTGCAATAGTAAGTTGAAATATGATGGAATGATACTTTTTAGTTAGCTTAATAACAAGGGTTAAATTAAATCTCCTTTACAGAAAAAAGTGGGTTATTAGTGTCTAAAATACTTCGACAGAAATTGGAGTTTCAAAATAGAGTTGTTCTCCCACTACTATTCCAAATCAAAATTTTAAGGAATGGATTTCTTTCTTAAAAAACAAACATTGGGGGTTTTGCCATTGAGGAGGGCTGCATCATACTTGTTCTTTGGGAGCATCAACCACTGTCTGCTCTTTGGAGCAAGAGGAGAGGAGGGGAAAAACCCAAATTGAGGGCCTTTGCTAGCTGATGCCCATCCTGCTGCCCCCAAGGGAGGCAAGGAGGGCAGGCAGCAGGCTTCTGCTTAGCATCCAGGTCATCAGTTAGAGACTTTTGGTGCACAGAAGGCACTGGCTCTGGTTATGCTAAATAACAGTAAAATTTCTTCTCAATTGTGCTACTTTATGTCTTGATGTTCTTATTTTTTCCTTCTGAAACATTTTTGAGTTTAGATTTTCAGAAGAAGAAATTAGTATTAGCCATCTAAAACAGCATTTAAAAACTGAATAATCAATGTTGCTTTTCTTCCATAAAGCAAGACTGAAAGGAATAATTGCTTTGTTTTGACAAGTGAACCAAAGAAATATGACATAGAAGTCTTACAGGAGTGCATGCATGAAAACTAGGCTGTCATGTTTACAAGGTGATTTTTTTCATTTGATGAATTTTTCAAACAGTCAGTAGTCTGTAAACTATACTGATATTTTTTTCCAAGGAACATAAACTTCTTTTGGCTGTCCTTTAATGAAAAAAGTTAGGATTAAGTATAAATACACAATTTTGATTGTGCATCTATTTTATGAAAACTCTAACTTGTTCCAAACTGTTAATATTTTTGCAGTAAATATATGTATCTATTATACAGTTCATTTTACACCAATCATTGATTGTTCTACAAGACAGTTGAATAAAAGATAGGTTTGAGTTATAGGTATTGGATGGAAGTAAAATCACATTCTGTGTAAACCCTTTATAGGAGAAAAGAGAATGTGTGACCGAGTTTATTGTAAGTAGTATCATACTTAAAGAAAGAGCTGTGTTTTCAATATTCTTTTTATCTCAGTTCTGTAAAGCACTGTTGAATGGTTGCCATTTAATTTCTACTTTTAATTACTGTCTTTAATTGCAGTAACAGCTGTTAAGTTTTATATTAAAAGACTGACATTTCCTTAATGCTTTAAGAGATATATTTGGTTTACATCCAGTCAGCAACTGACTGAGTTTTAGCTACATTGCAAAATGTTCCAAGTGTTTGAATTGTTATTTGCAAAGGAGTATTCTGTAGCTTCTGAGATTTAAGAAAACTTTATCCATGAAATATTTCATATTGGTGTGCTGTTAATTGAGATATGCAAGACATTATGCTTTAGAGAACTTCCATGTTTTTTCAAACATTGCTTTGGAAGAGCAAAACCAGAAGTGTGTATTTCTGCTATATTTAAGTCTACACCCATTATCAAAACCAATCATCTTGACCTTGAATCTTAAATCCCTGATATTCTTTTTAAACATGTGTTTTATAGACAGTTCACATAAAAAAAAATCCATCCATTTTTCTAGTAGTGCCTCTAGATAACAACCAACACTGTAGTTGCTTTGTAAAAGAATATTGCGTGCAGGATAAAGAATGTATTTATTACATTTTGTTTCCCAAACTGTGCATCTGAATATTATGTTTGTTCCTCATGTTGTTGCTGCAATATGGATAGTATTAAATATGACATATTAAGTACTAGACATGAAATATACTGGTTATTAAGAAGGTTCCGGTTTTATATAATATTTTTCTTTGATTTTATTACTATGTCATCACTGATGATAAAATCAATTTCATTATTTCTCAAAAAGAGGATGCAGGAAAAAATAGAAAACAGGAAAAAAACAAACAGCTAATGCTTTGCTTCTGATATAAAAACACAAAGGTAGTGTATTAGTTTGAATAGGTGGATTTGACCAGTGTTTAGTAAAGTGAGTACAAAGCAAGATGAAGCTTGGTTTAATCTAGATTTTTATGTTTGCATGTATTTACAATGATGTGCTGAATTTCCAGAAAATAGTTACTCCTTGGTCAGAAATTATAAGTATGCAGAAAGTAAGTTTGCCCTGTAATGGGTTTATTTTTAGTTTCCATTTATAATAGTGAGAATTTTCTTTCTAAATCTTAAAAGAAAAAAAAAAGATATTGCTGTGATTAAGGTAAAATAACTGATTTCTTTAAACTAAAGAAATGCAAGATACTATGACACTTACCTCAACATTTGTTTTCATGGTTTCCCTCTATAGCAGTCTACACAGAAGCATAATAATCTAATATTTATAATAAAAGTATCTCCAAAGAACAAGATGTTGTATACTTTAGCACTTCTAGTCCACATCTTTCTATTCTTTAACCCTTTTGCTGTATTTGTTTTACAGATTCTAAAAATGGAGTGGGGAGGAGAATATTCTTTTGATTCTTCCAATTTAGACTGTTTGTTAAATGTCCTCCCTGGAGAATTGGAATTTCAACAAGTCCTTAGTGATCTTGATGAAAAAATAAAGAAGAACTCTTCCAGGTAAAGAGTATCTTACTTATATCTAAAATAATAGTGAAAGTCATTGCATTTGGGAAGAAAGGTGGCTTAACTTACCTTTCTCTTCTAGTAGTAGGTTAAAATTCTGATAAATATTTCAGTAGTAATTTTATTTTAACTATTTGAGCATTTAACAAAATTTTAATGCCGTATAATTATTGTCTTATAGTCTATATAGCTTTAGTCTTTCTCTCTATGGTATTTTTAACAGCTATATCATCTTAATCTTGGGTTGTGTTGGAGTAGGTGTGATAGTGAATGAAGAAAATGTGAATTCCCATGACAGTTGTATTTTCTACTGCTATGAGATAAAATTTCCTACTAATGAGATAAATTTTTTTGACTAAAAGAACTACAGAATTTGACTGAAAGCAAAATCTAAATTCAGTATGTTATTTAAGCATTTCTAATGGAAGTAGAAAAATTAATTATGTTAATATATGTGTATTTTTTTCTTATATGATCCATTGTTTTACTATTTCAGTTAAAACTCTTGTGTTGCAACTGCACAATTTCTTCCTGCAATTTATAATATATTTCTTTGTCCACTTCCTTATAACATACCAATTTCCAAAATTCGGTGTTATAAAAACAGTGGCGTACTAAAAAGTTCATTGTTGATGCAGATTTTTTGCATGGATACAAAATAATCAGCTCAGGGTTCTGTGACTTATTTATAGCTTAACTCTTTAGTACCTTTGTAATACTTTCATCAGTGAAAGCTGCTCTTAAGCAAATAAAGATTTTGTCCATTTAAAAAAATAAGTGTATGGTCAGAGATACAACAAATGGCAAGATTTTACATTAAATTTTGAAAATTATTTGAAAATGCACTGTTACCCCTTTGGATAACAGTGTGTCTTATAGAGAATTGTATGATTTCAAAGAATGTCCTTCATGACATCTCTTTTAAGATTGTATCATTTTAATGTATCCCATGTTTGTCAGAGGTCTTTGCTCCCAAATAGCTTCTGGAAGGATGAAAATAAACCATTGCTATATCTCACTGAAAACTGACTTAGATGATTTCTTAATTATTGTCGTACTGCTTATGGTGGGACAGGAGATTTTTTGGGGGGGGAGGTTATTTCTATTACTCTTGCCTCACATTTTCTTTTAAAAACGTAGCGTTTACTAAAGTACTTGCAATATTAATAATCCCACGGTAGCAGTGTTAGTGAAGATCTGGTAAATATGCTTTATAGACCACTGTGTAATACAATTTCATGTTAGAGTTTTCCAGCTGTTGACATGAATGAAATGTAGATACTTAGAGATTAGTTGATGTCATAACATAGTTAATTACACAGGTAATTAATTTTCTAGTGTCTGTGGTCTTATGTATCTGAAAAAAAAAGCATTAGCATTTTTAGCATGACTGCTGTCACCTCTTCAACTACCAAATAAAAGTGATTTTGTTGTCATTGTGCAGAGATATCCTGAGAGTTAGTGTTGGATCTCAGGAATCTGGAGTTTTTGAGCTTTCTGTGCTTCCAGGCACAGACCCTCTGAAAAACACTGCACTGGGCCTGAAAGCTTGGAGAAGACTTGTAAATATAAATAATGAGTTAGAAATCACAAATGTATAGTGGAATAGATGTATGTATTTTCACTGGGTGATGGGCTTTAAGTTTGAGGTTTTTATAGTATAGTGGTAGTTATGGGACAAGATGGAGAATTTTGGGTGGTGTCTTTTTCTTTGTTCATTTTCTTCTTCCTTCTTCTTCTTCAGGAACTTAGGTAGTAGCCTTTGGTTGGTAAGTCAAAAATCACTCTAAGGGTCATGGGAATCTATTATTGGGTCAAAAGTATAAATAATGTAAGTGTTAGACTTTTATTGGTTTATTTAGCTTTAAAAGGCCTTGAAGCAGGCTCAGCTGGAGCCATTTTTCCTACTTCTAGCAAGGAGCTGGAGGTGCTGTCACATGTTCTGTAATTTTTTGATAACATATAATAAACATCCGAGTCCGAACACGAGAAACCGTCTCATTCGCCTTTCTAACAATCCTGGCTCAGAGGGGAAACAGATGAGACTGATGACAAACCACTAATTAGTGCTGCAAAGCCCAGCATACATTCCCACAAGTTAGGAAGATTATTCTCAAAATGAACCTTTAGAATGAACGTTTCATTGCTATTTTTTGTATGAAAAATATATGCTGCTTGTTGAGAAATCATCTTACTATGGAAAGGGAAGCCAGCTGTTCATTCTTTTAAGTGGTACTTTATAGCCACTTAACATTATATGTTACAGTTTACATTAACATCGTCTCAGTGGAAGTGTTTGTATGTCTTGAAGGAGGCTGATTGACCTTGTCTTAGGTGTCTAGTTTTAAAAATTAGAAGAATATTTCACTATAAGTTTTGTAAAATCCAAAGGATATTTTATTAAAGGTGAGCAGGAAATTTATTAGGTTGTGGTAAACAGCAATGCAGGTCAGGAAAATTTTGTATTTCTGCTGAATTGATACTTAAGCTAGCTTTAACCTTATTTTCACAAGGAAAAACAGGAAGTAGCTCTATAGTTGTTATCAGGTGGTATTTCACTCCTGTAGTATGTCGGTTTCAGAAATTGAGAGAGTTTAAAATAAGATGGACAGGAGCTGATGTGACTTTTAAATTAAAAAGAGTCCTTTTATTGTTTATATATTAGAGGTAGCATAGAATGAAATAATTTTCAAGTTACAATTGATATTTGTAAGTGGTATGATAAGAGCAGCTCTGTATGATACAGTGATACAATTGAAATACAATCCATTTTTCATCAGATAGATTTATGCTTTTATTAGACCACAGAGAATGAACATAATAGTATACATCACATATATATATTTTAAAATAAAACATTGTGTAAAAAATTATGAGGCAAGAGTGTGTAACTCATTCAACTGCTCATTTATTGCCTTCTAACTGAATAGGTTTTTTAAAATTGTGTGACATGACAAATCAGATATGGTTTTCAGCTGTTGAATTACCTTCAGTATTTTTGTACAGTACCAATTCTATTTAGTGCTATAACAACAACAAAAAAGGCCATCTGTGTGCAGTTGTTTTATATGTAAATTTTAATGTAGTAAGTGGTTCACTCATTCACTATTATGTAACAGAACTCTGATTACACTTGAATGTTAAGTTTATTTTTACAGCAGTTTATAGGAGCAGGTGAATATGAACTCTGAAAACTGTCGTCATTGCTGGCCAGTTTTAGGTATAGGGGTAGTCTCATGGTCATTCGCAAGTGTGAAGTTGTATTCATAAGGTTGGCCTTTTGTCTTCATTCTTTCCTTTCACATTTACTTTGACTTGTACTGCTTATCAGAACTGAGTATTTGGATTTTTTTTTCCCAATTGGTGAACTAACATATAATTTGTGAACAATTCACAGAACTAAACTTGCAGCTTTATATTTAATACTTCTAAGAAGGAAATACAGTACAGAGCTTGAAACAGGGAGCCACAGAGGTGGCTTCTGTGATAAGCTATTTAGAAGCTTCCACAATCTCTGATGGCTCTGAAGATGCTGCTGGCCCAATCAGAGAAGTTTCTAATGGTAATGCCTCTGTGATTACACATTTAAGACGAAAATGTGCACAGGAGCAGTTTTTTCTCATGGTTGGCAAGGTGCCACCACTAGGACCATCTCAGCACTGCACCTGCAGTCATGTGGCCACCACTGTGGCCACCGCTATTTCGGCACAGCCCAAGGTGAGCTTTGCCTGCCTGGCCACCCCCAGCCAGCTGTGCTGCTGGCAGAAGGGCAGGGGCAGAGATGACAGCTTCTCCTCCCCAGTGCCCCGCGTGAGGAAAGGCGTTGAATGGCCCCAGCGCCACGGCGGCCACAGCACCTGCAGCTGCTGGCAACAGAAACATGGCGAGCGATTCCCTCACACAGAACCTAGACAAAATAAACTTCTCAGTGTTGCAAGATCCAGCAGATCTCGCTTAGACATGCAGAGATCTTTAAACTGGTGGAATTTGTTGGCAATGGTACTTAAGAGCAACAGGTTTTTTTCCTAGTTGGAGAAAAAGGAAGAAGTGAAGACGTGGAAGAACACAATGTGGTGGCCCAAGGTCAGTGAAAAGAAAGAGGGGGAGGAGGTGCTCCAAGCATTGGAGAAGAGATTTCTCTGCAAGCCATGGGGAGGACTATAATAAAACAAACTATCTCCCTGTAATGCATGAAGTCCATGGAGGGATGCAGAGATCCACTTGCAGCCCATGGGAAAATGTTCATGCCAGAGTGGGTGGATGCTAAAAAGAGCTGTAATCCAATGGGAGACCCAAACAGAGAGAGAGGGCCCTTGTTTCCTGACACAGAAAAAAGAGGACCCTTGCTTCGAAACTAGAGCAGCTTATCCTTGAAGGACTACACCTCATGATCTAGCGACTCCACGTCATGGCAGTTTTGGGAAGACTGTTTTGCCTGTGGGAAGGACTCACATTACAGCAGGTTGGGCCAGACTGATATTCGTGGAATTGGAACCACACTGGAGAAGTTAATGGAGAGCTGTCTCCTGTGGGAAGGACCTCATGGTATAGAAGAAGAGAGATTCCTTTTCCTAAGTGAACCGAAAAAAAATTTTGAGTGCCAAACTGACCAAACACCTCCATGCCCTATCTCCCTGCACTGTCGGTGGGAAGACAGAGGGGCTGGGGACTAAAAAGGTGTTTTAAAGGCTTGTTTTACTCCTCCTTATCCTCTTCTGACTCTGTTAATAATAAGTTTACTTTATATCTTTAAGTTTGAGCCCTGTTTTGCCCTTGGAGTGTTTTCTCCTGATCCTTAACTCATGAGCCTTTTGTTCCGGTTGTCGTGGGTGCCTGGCATGTTAACCAATGTCAGTCCACGACAGACTTCAACCTGATCTAATTAACAGCAGTTTAGTCATAAGAATTTTGAAGAAGGTCTCTTTTGAAGAGCTGCAATGAGGTCAATGGTAGTAAGTGCTTATAGCGTTGCATCTTGTCCCGTCACTGTTTTGATATAAATTATGATAATTATTTGAGAACTAACAAGGTCTTTACCTTGATCTGGAAAGTGTCTCAGTAAGGATGTTAGTATGACATGGTCCAGCTGTTCATCGTAACTGCTGATTTGGCAAGAAATGCTTACAATACCAATATCAAAACTTTGCAACAAAGGGATGGAGGAGTTTCAAACAGGATATTAAGTCAAGTTATCTCATTCCATTTTTCTGTATCAGAACTGACATGTGCAAGGGCTTATGTGTTTTTAAAATGAAATGTGCAGCAGTTTTCTTTCAGTTTTATTTTGAAGAAAATCTTGGCTTATTTTGCTCTGGAATTTTCAGGAAACAGCTATGCCTCACATTCCTGTTAGTCAAGAGATTTATCAAAGTCTTGGGACCTCCAACCAGAATCCCAAGAGTGGTTGATTATTTGGGAGAATTTCAAAATGGGGGCTAAGTGTAGAGGAAAAAAAAAGATGAATTTGTCGCTTTTACTCAGACTTAATATTTATCACAGCTTTCAAAAGTACTTGACTCTTTTAGGTGAATGTAACTGGCTCATTGTACAAATGTATTACTTTAATGTTTACCTGAGAATTTGATGCCTGTAAAGATATTAGAGCAAAGTTATTAAAATCTTAGTCAGAATACTAGTTGTCCAGTCATGTTACTGGACCTATTCTTAGGAATAAGTAAATAAACTGAGAAAGAAATGTAATTTTTTTCCCTGCAAACTATGTTTTCTTTGTACATAATCACTGAGTCTGGGTTAGTTGTTCCATATCAACTTGCTAGCTGGGCAGCATAGTTGCTCAGAAATTGGCTGCTTTACTCAAATATTCAGTGATTGTCACTGTGTCAGTACCTTAGATGGTTAATTAGCTGTCATGTTAATGTACAGAAAATGTAATCAGATCTTTGACTGCCCTGCAAAGTATCCCATTTCATTTCATACGAGTGTATATGAGATGATGGGTTTTGAGCCCTTACTTGTTACTGTCATGTTTTGGTCAATGGAGTTGAGAAACTCATGTTTTACTGCCTGTCTTCTGAAATAACTTACCAAGACAACACTTACATGTTGTGACTGAAATATTTCAAGTCTTTAAAACAAGAGTGGAAATTAAAAGTGGGCAGGCCATGGTTGGGCTAGAACTGACTGTTCTTATATGGTTAAGCTGTTGAGTAATTTTCTCTTGGCTAAAGTGTAGCATTCTATTTCTTCTGGTTTCAATGATACAGTTTCTTTGCAGTTAGATTGAATATGTGTTATAAGTAGCTAAATAATACATATGCAGTAGTTTCCGAGGTCCTTTAACCAGGTGCTGTGTCTTTGGTTTACATCCTAGGGTTCAAGATCAAGATAAAATTTTAACAATGAAAATATCTGTGTGAATTATAATGCTGGAAGTCTATCTCCAGATTTTTTACTACTCACATCACGTCTTCTGATACACAGATTTCCAAATGATATGATTTTTTTTTTTGTACAAATGTCCTATACCTCTAGCATTCAAGCTTTTTAATGAGTAATAACAGTAGTTTTATAACACTGCTTACATCTTCAACAGCAGTGAAAGCAATGATTTGTTTGTTTTGAAACAGTCTGTTCTGATTCTAAACTGATTCTAAAGCTGTGTTTCCATGAATGCGAGGATCTCAAGAATAAGGAGCATGAGGTTAAAAGATAATTTTGCTTTATAGCTTAGCAGTTTAATTTAACCAATGTCAATGTCATTTTATGGCTGCTCTCTATGCTCGATGAAATAAATGGAAATGTGCATGTTAGAAATTGAAAGGAATTAGAAGATCATACTTCACCTTACTCATAGAAATCTTAGGAATGGAAAATGATATATGGAGAGTGCAACACTTTTTCTGATATTGTATTTTTCAAAATAATGTGTGACATATGACAGCGTGATAGTGCTTACTCTGTATGTGCCAATACAGTACTTTTTAAACTGTTTGTCCATTGATGAAGCCACTTAAAAAGCATTCTCTCCAGATTATTAGGTTATTTGTAAAAACTATCATTAACTTAATAAATTAGAGTACCTAAGGGCTCTTACATTGAGATTGTCTCTCTGCAGTGTGGGTACTTACCAAATGTTTCTCCAGAAAAGCACTCCAATGTGGAGAAAGATAACACAGCTTTGCTTTGGTTTGTTAAAGAGCTGCAAACACTTTCACCTGTAAGAAGGAGAAAGTATTTCAGTCAAATAATTTTCACTTGCATACTGGTATGCTAGTAGTACTAGCCACAGAAAATATATGCCCACAAAGGCTCAAGATACTACTTGTGTAGGACTAAAGATTTGTTTCTTGAAAAATCAGTCAATTAAAAAAACCCCAAAAAACAACATACAAGCATAACTATCAGGTTTCTTTGCTGCAGGGAAAGGTTTGGGCTTTTTTTCTTTGAGATTTTATATTCCACTCCTTCCTTAGTAGTTTGATGGCTGGGTTTTTTTCTGTTTGTGTCTGAATTTTTCCACAGGTTCCAAAAAAAAGGTTGAGTCATCTGTGGACAGAAAATATATTAAGGACTGTTAAATTTGCACATCCATAGTATGTATGTAATGTCAGTTGACGTCATCTGGATTAATGCCTCAATAGGTTCAAAAAAGGAGCTAATTTACTACTCTGAACTTTAAAAAAAATACATTTGCACTTAATGAAATATATAACTTTTTTAAAAATTGTACTTTTAAGAGTAAAATTAGTTAAATACATTAAGGATATTTTTCACATCAAAATTACATTTTTGTTTGCAGTTTGTGTAACTTGCAAATTTCTTATCTAAACCAGGAAATCGAAGTCTCATTCTACCTACACTGGTATGAAATTATTAAGTTTTTGATACCAGCCTAGGTGGTGAGAATATTCTTAATCATATATAACTGAAGTCTTTTACTTAAAATGTTTGCTTTCTAAACTCAGATAATACACTTTTTCTTTTTTTTTTCTTAAGGATAACCAAATTCCTAAATATTAAATTAGTGTAAATCGTGTAACTATAATTAACCATGTTTGTGTATTACTGAGTGTTGACAAAATTCTTAGTAAGATGCAGCAGTGGTTTTGAGACCCTGTTTACTTACAGTATTCTGCGTGCTGTAAATAAACAGGATGAAAATACATTTATTCAATCAAAACCAGCTTTGGTCCTAATTAAATGTTTATTTTGGGAGGATAAAAGGATTAAATAAAATGAACATAGTTATCATGAATTATACTTGTGGGGGAGGTAAGGAGCTGGGGAGTGGCACTGAAATCTATCCATATAATCTCCTTATCAGTATTGGGACCAATTACCAAAATGTCTGGTCTTGAGAAGGCTGTAGCTTATTCGTATCCTGTAGTTTATTAGCTTGCTCAGAGATTCATGTCAGAGATACATATAGGATTTCACTCATAATAGTAATAGATTGGCACAGATTTAACAACAGTAGTGTCTTTTATACTGCACAATGCTGTAATCTATTTGGATATGTTTGAGATACATCAGCACACCACAATAAGAGCCTTTGACAGTGTCCCAGGAGCCTAAGTGTATGAAGAAGGCATTTAGTTTCATAGTTCTGAGAACAGGTTTCACAAGCTAAAAAGATACTTGCCAATCTTTTGTCAAGTTTAGAATTGGAATTTATTGCTGGGCCAATAAGCCTAGTTTTGCCTAGATCTAAATTCTATTTTCTTCCTGAAACTGTATAAAATATTAAGCATTGCTTTTGAAAAAAATATAGAAATTAAATACTGAAAAGGTGCTTTTATAGGAAAATAAATAAGTTGTTTGGGATTTTTTTGTTTTGTTTTCACCTAAGTGTCCGCACAAATAGGAATAAAATAATTCTGGATGTTCAATTGTTCTTGTGATCTTTGCAACTGAAATCACTGTAATAACCTAACAGACACATCTGGTTTCATAAAAAGAGTTATGATTCTAGATGAATGTTGAGGAGAGGATCAGCTCCTTGAAAACAAAGTCTGTTTTCTTGGAGATATTCTAATGACAAAACAAGAAAGAAAAGATCTGCTTTCTCAGCACAATTAGCTCTAAAATGATTTTCTGTGCATTTTCTGTGATGTCAATGGGTCTTTAAGAAGTTATTAATATATCTTATGTTTTATAAAACAACTGCTGATTGCTAAAGGAGCTGAATGACACATTCACCTTTGAATACAGTAATTGATTCAGTTTATAGTCTCTGCTTTAGCTAATTAAGCACCAAGGACCAGATATTAGTTTGGGTAATGCCTTATTCATTAACTACTTTACTGAAAAGAATAAGATTGTTTGAAAGTGAAGCCATACATTCTCTTGCTTAGGATGGTGCAGTCTGGCCTGAAGGAAGTTTTTTTAGCTATAGCTCAACAGTACTTAAATGCTAATTGTTGATTCTGCAAATTGAGGTCTTGTGACCTGAGGTGAGGGTAGCTTAATCCATGAATAAGAAGGACTAGTCTTACCTTAATTTTACGTAGTTTTTCTTTTTAAGATATGGAATATATAAAATACTTTTGTCTCCAAATAATGAAGAAAAATCCTGTGATTTTTCTTTTTTTTCTTTTTTTAGCATAGAAAAGTGTCTTAAGGACCTACAATCAGACGTAAATGAAATCTGTACTGACGAAGTACTACAAAGCACAACTGACTGCATTCAGTGGCTAAATAACTGCAATTTTAGTTCTCTCCGACCTTTTTCTACAGACCATGGAGAGCTGCTGGAGTTCCTTAAGACCTTGGTAAAAATTGTTTATTAAAGACTTTAATGTTGGAAAGTTGGTTATATGATTGGAGGTGGGAGAGTGGGTGGGTGAATTCAATTAGTTTTCTCATTTCAGTTTTTACTGTAGTGGGGATCGTTCATAAATTCATGTCTGCAGCAGGGTGTTATGTTTCCTTTTGATCATGCCTTAAATATTCAAACTTGGAACAAAATCTTTTCACAGATGCTACCATATGTTCAGCACTGCTTGGATTGTTTTATAAAACACATGTTGGTAAAAAAAACATTGGAAGTTACTGACTACACTGAGGCTTAGTGTTACTGCATGTTCTTCAGTTGTATCAGGATAAATTTAACTCATCTAATATATGTTATTATCCTTTATGCATTATTTAACTGTACACTTCCTGCCTGCTATGTGGCCAGAGGCTAGGTGGTAGATGCCCCTTCCTTGGAAATGTTCAAGGCCAAGTTGTACTGGGCTCTGAGCAGCCTTGTCTGGTTGAAGATGTCCCTGCTCATTGTAGGAGGATTTTACTAAAAGAGATTTAAGAAAGTCCCGTCCAGTCCAAATGACTCTATGATTTTACTCTTCCCAGTGATAAACATGGGAGCTACATGGTTTGTTCTACCAAGTTATACAACTAGATGCAGCCAGAAATCAAATTTCACTTCAATGAAAAGTACCATCATTTTAGAGAGTATTTTTATCCAAAATTTTTATTAAGAGTTTACATTTGAATATGTGTGGAAATGGAAGTCTGTAACATTGAATTGGAAAGATAAGTGAAGGTTGATCCCTCTGTAAATTATGGTCTTCAAGTTTATATATAAACATTTTACCTGTGCATTTGATGTGATACATATATATGAGGTCAAAACAAATTGGGAGTCTCCAGCGATTATTCTTTGTCACTTCCGTGTCATGGTTTAGTTGTAGAACATGAACAACTTTAGGCTGTATGATTAGCTATGATTAGCTGTAATGGAAGAGGAAACTGTAGAGAAGTGGAGTTTTTTCTGGCTAGAGCAAAGGCTTAATAAAATCAGCATTTGGGTTTTTTTTAACTCTTTAACTCTTCTTGCTCTTTCAGTCACCCTTGATTCCACTGGATACTGACCTGTGTCAGATGAGGAAGTAACTTTCAGAGACACCAGGTCTTTAATGTTCATGTGGTGAAGAGTGATTTTGTTTTCTTCTGACAAAAAGTGATCAGTATGAATGTTGCTGTTAATAATCAGCCCACTCAAGGGTGTCAGAGACTGCTACATGTCATACTTGATCTAGATGAAGTTAGAGAATCCCAGAAAAAGCTGACTGCGAAGTTCTTGTTCTCAGGAGTCTTTTGTTATTCCTCTTAGTCCACTTAGATCCTTACTGAATTCCCTCAGAAGCTGGCATGGCACTGATGACTTATTTGTGTCCATTCCCTGCTTATTTCCTTCTCCAAGGCCTATTCAAGCCATATGCCTGAACACCAGATGGCGGCATTTGTTTGGAAAACACTAAAACGTCCCCATTTTACACAAAATGTGCTTTCTAGCTCTCCAGCTTCCCAGGAGCTTACTAACTGCATGACAGTCTTGCTGTGAGCTGTAGTATCCAGTTAAGCCTTGAGAATGGCTCTGTGGCAGGTTGCTAAACAGACAGCAAAGTGAGAAGCGTGAAAGTCTCAGTTCTGCACAGTTTATTGTGGAAACATTTTTGGAGCTCAGCAACCTTCACATCACTATTTCCAGGCTTATGTCTTTTTAGATAATCTAGCCCGTTGTGTAGATGGGATTACAGATGAAAAGCATGTCTGTACTGAGTGTCTGTATCTTTAGTACTGACTGTACTCCAGTCTGTCTGTAAGAAGTTATACTCACAGCAGATAATCTTCGGTTCCATGAACAGGTCTGCAGTAAACTATTTTCAATAAGATTCGGCATTAATTACGTTATTATGATTTGACCTTTCTTAAATAGATATCTCTATCCGTTGAACTAATTAGATAATTTCTTCTTGCATGCTTTTAATTAAGTATATATAATTCATATTTAGTAACAGGTACCTTCTTTCTACTTCAGGACAATATTCCTATTCATTGTTATCCTTTATTATGTGTGTTTATTTTGTTAGGAATTTTATTTATCTTTTAAGGTGCTGGGACAGTTAAAAATCAGTAAAAATTTCTTCATGGGCATTGCCTGGGGTTCTGTATTTAAGTTTATTGTTATTATCTTACAAAAATACCAAGAATTTCTTCATGAGGCCTGAAAATGTTAATTACCGGAAATTTTGTCAGATTCTTTTTTTAACCAGGCCTTCATCTTACTGTACTTGTTTATTGATATGGTAGGTAGTTGTCCATGCTAGGCAGTTGGTAAACTGCAACCGGTTTTGTGTATTATTATTGAGCACAGAAAGCACTAACTTTCGTGCTCCAAAGGGAACGTTTTATGCTTCTCCAATTGGATCTTCTTCTCTTGAATAGTATTGGCATAATCTTTTGCAATATTTTTATAGGTTAATATTTAAATTAAAAGCCTATATTAATATAGGCAATATAGACAGTTGATGGCACTTTTCAGAGCTTCAAAATTCACTTCAGGTTCTCTTTCTGAGTATCACTAAGTCTGAAATGGCATCTACAAGCTCCTGTTTTTAATGCCGTAGTTTAGATTGCAAAAGTCCTGTAACAATCCTTAGATATATAAAAGTAAATCTGCTTTGCCTTAAAAAGCAGCAGTAGGGATTTGCTTGGAAGACCATTTGGAGTCACCATTGAAGGCATCAGGTGCATGCATTGTTTTGGCAGCTTCTCTTGCTTTGTACATTTCAGAATGTAGTATTTGAGCATGATTCATAAAACCCCCACTGACATTAAAGTCCAGAAGTCTACTTGTCAAGAGACAACCTTTCAACACAGTGTTAGTAATCAGGGTTTCTTTGGGGCCACTAAACTTTGTAGAATAGTTCAGCAGATAATAAAAGAAAATGGGATCAGTATTATGTATATACATTTTGATATGTATGATTTAAGATTTGAACCGGCTGCACATATTTCTTTTACATGCCTATGTTTTTGTAAGATGATATTCAACTGATAATTTCCTTAATTATTCTGTCTTCCACATCTCTCCTGCTTGTAAGTAAAAAGAATTAATAAGAATTATTTTGAAACTAAGATCTAAAATTGAAGAAAAATAGGTAGTCTGTTATTTTTAAGACTTTCTTTATAAGAGGCAATCATACTCCTAGTCTGTTATTCAGAATTAGGTACTGTAGTGAAAGTGTTTGGTTTTTTTAGATTTTTGTCAAGAAACTCTGGTCAGAGTAGAAGGCAACAGAAAGGCTAAACTATCTAACCTTAACAGAAAGGTTAAACCATCTAACCTAAGGTATGTAACCGGTTTGAAACATCTAGAACAAAGAATAGGAGTTCTGAATTGAAAAATTTTTATGTCTCTGAAGCATAATTATCTATTGATAAAAGCTTGCTATAAAGGAAAAATTTAATATTTGGCATTCAGAAATGGTTATAGTTATGCAATACCATACTCAAACTTGAATCATTTACCTCTCTTTTAAAATGAGAACAGAAATGAAACTAGTAATTTCTTCAAATAATGTAAGTTAAATAAATCATCAATGCTGAAGGGGGAAGGTAGCAGTTGTTCTTTACCAGCCTTGCTTTATAGGATGGAGTATGACCTGGAGACTCTGCTGGTTTCAAGTGTACAAGTACAGGGCTGTTTTGATGTATGCTGAACACATAGTTGATAATACAGAGATTTTCCTATTATTGCTGAGCAGGGTTTACACAGAGCCTTTCTGCTGTTCATAGTACCACAGTGGTGAGGAAGTTGGGGGTGGATGGGAAGCTGGGAGGAGACACAGCCAGGACAGGTGACCCAAACTGACCAAAAGGATATGCCAGGCCATATGACATCATGGTCAGGGTATAAAGTGCAGGGAAGAAAGAAGGTGAGTATGTCTGGAGTGATGACCTTTATTTTCCTAAGTAACAGTGATGTGTGGTGGGGCCCTGCCTTCTTGAAGATGGCTGAACACCTGCTGGCCATTGGAAGCAGTGAATTAATTCTTTGTTTTGCTTTGCTTGTGTGAACAGCTTTTGCTTTCCCTGTTACACTGTCTCTCAACCCATGAGTTTTATGGCTTTTACCCTTCCAATTCTTTCCTCAGTCCTGCTGGTACAGGAGTTAGCAAGTGGTTAGCTGGGGCTTGGTTGCTGGCTGGGGTGAAACTATGACAGAGACCTAGATAAAGGACATGACTGGAATGAAGCCCTCTGAGGTGGTTTGCCACAATGCTTTTTCTCTGTTGGAGAGAAGCAATGGGAGGTGAAGGAGCAAGTGAGAGGGCTTCTAGATTCTCATCCACCTAAGACTTTCCTACTGGAACTAAGAAAATGAAGAATACTGGCAATTCCACTCAATTTTCTTGTGATGGTAGTATTGAGCTGTGACAAGAGGACCTGCTATTTGCTGCATGACCTCTTGAAGCTGAAGCAGCTCTAAGGTCAAAGATCCTAGGCCTGGACTGAGAGAGAGCTCTTCAGACTTGAATGAAAAAGGAATAGCAGCCATGTGGTTTCACTTGCTTTAACTGACTGCCTTCTCCAACCCATACAGGATAGATGTATATGAAGGTCACTAGTATATCAGTCTGCATCTTGGTTTGATGGGATACACAGCTTCTTATTCTTCTGTGTCCTGTGTGATCTAAGGCTCTTTAATTCTTAACAAGTTTTCAATTTTAGTTCTTTAAGAGGGAGTCGTGGGAAGACTTTCTTATCCTTAGAATAGTCTTTTTGATGATTGCCTGCTGAGCCATAGAAAGGGACCATTTTATATATTCCTTGCTTGGTTTTATGAGAAAAACCTGTCATTATCTGTGTAAATCTTAAGTAATTTTTTCATACAGTTTTCTTTAGAAGATGCTGTGACAACAAAAAGGTTGCCAAGGGTTTCCTTTGAACTCTGGTCTAGAATTGATTGAGAAAAGAGGTTGAAGATATAAGAAAGATGAGAAGATGAATGTGATTTATTGGCAGAGGTAGATAAGAAAATTAATTCGCATTTAAATCCTATTTTCCACGGGTTTTATAATTTCTGTTGCATACATATCTTATTTGCTGTTAGGATTATTAGTATTGGAAACACAGTTTTTACTCTAGTATGAAGCTGTTCATTTAATGAACCGGAATTAATAAAATTTTCTAAAATATTGTCTGTTTTACCTTTGTTAGCAAAGCTTGCTGAAGAATGAGAAAAATCAAGAAGAAATGGTACTTCACTTCCTTCTGGATCTCTCTAGTCAGTGTGGTGTCTCATTTCCCTGTACGGCAAGCGGGACGTCTTTTGAGTTAACATCTTCCCTTCATACCATTCAAGATGATTCAACTGTGGATATGAAATCTCTTTGGGATGATGTGAGATTGCATCTTCGACAATTTTTAGTAAACAGACTGCAAAGTCAAGAAGAAATAAACACTAATGCTTTGCAACAGCAAATGGAGTTTAAAACTCAGTGTGTACAGCAACTTTTGTTTCTTTATCCCAAATCAGAAGTCTTATTGAAGTATCAAAATATGCAGAATAAACTGGTTAGTGATCTTCTACAGAACTGTATTTTGTCTAGTTGTGGTGAAACAAATTTTGATAAGGTGGTTCATGGTTACCAAAGTTCTATACCCAGATTGTGCGCAATGATAAAAGAGGATTTGTATATACTAAGTGGAACTCTTGGTCCATCTTCATCATTAAAGTTTATTAATGAAACTTACCTGGATACCATCACTGAAGAAATGACTGTTCTTCTTGAAAGACTTTGTGAGCTGCAGTTCAAAGAAAATGCCCTACACATAGTTAAAGCAAACAAGATTTCAAAGAAGCATAGAGGAGCAGTTCACACTGTGGGTTAGTAGTCTTATTTTATGTTCTTTGTAGTTAGATATTATTTTAATTATGCTACCTTTTTTTTTAATATACTTGATTATTTTCTGTGAAGAGAGAGATCCAAAATTAGTAATTACAGCTTTATGTTTTAAACATATTATTGCAGCTGAGTTCTAGACTGTGTCAGAATTGTGGTGCAGAAGTAAGAGAGAGCAACTCATGTAATTTAACAAAACCTTTTTATAATCAATTGGATAATACTGTTGTATCACAGTAATTTTTTTCAGCCTGTTTTACTCTAGCTGCTGAAATATGTACTAGAATAAGAACTATTTAATCCAGATTCAAATAAATAAAAACTCTTCTGTTTTCTACTTTTTTTTTGTCAGACATTTAAAGGAGATTATAGGAAAGATCGTACAGTTATGTGTCCATGAAACAGATTCTGATTCACACATCAGAGCTGACCCAAAGGATTACTATGCAGATTCATATTCTCAAACTAAGAAACAAACAAAAAACCCGTTTACATTTTCTAGTCTTGTGAAAGTACAGCAAGTTAGAGTTAATACCGCCTGGTCATTTCTTCTTGTTCCAAGAAATGTCAAGCAGGAAAGGAATCTGTTATTGATGTAGTGTTTTCTATTTTTTCTTTTTGCTGTTTTTAAGTCTGACATGCTAATTTCCAAAGGGAAGAACCAATGCTTTGGAAAAAATGATACAGAATAGAAACTTCCAAAACATAATTGCACAATTGTTTGTAATTGCTTTTTCAATGCAATGTTTTGAGCATGCCTCTGTGGAGGAACTGTTTGTTTAAAGCATAGCTTTCCATAAAGTGATTTACAGACAGAAAATATTAAAAGTTTAGATTTATGTGAAAAATACAGAAACAAAAGATCTTTGAATTGTGCAGCATAGAGAAAGGATTAGTGAGCTGATGATTTGTCAGGTCTCTACAGAAGAAAATTACATGCTTCTGAGTTTTAAAGTCAGCATATGTGTTAGTGTAAGTCAACCGAAATTTCCAGTGGAACAAATGCAAAGATAATTTTTTAACAGGAACTGAAATATGGAGGAATATTGGAACATGTGAAAGACAAGAAAAAGGCATGCAAACAAGAAAGTTGAAAGGATGTCTATATTCAGTATATATTCAGTATATATACTAGCAGAATGCAGTGTTTGTGGGAAATAATGAAAAGATGTTGTGTCAGAGTACAGTTGACGTATGAAGTAACAAGAAATGTGAAATTACATTGTGAGATGTGAGTCATCAGTGAAAGGATTCAATGACAAAAAAAATTACCTGTAGTGAACAGAAGTTTGTAACTTAATTTTCCTTTCAGTCTCAAAACAGCTCACGAAGATGGGAAGTTCAGTTATCTCCATTTTACATCTAAAAGTGTTCACAAACATGTCTCTCTGAAAAATCGTACTTTAACTCTGTGTTACAAAATGGAAGAAAACAGTCATTCAGTCTATTAATACACTACTTCTTCTACTTTTTTTTTTTTTTTTGCAGCTGGATGTGACTTTGCATGTTTTTGTGCCAATCCATCTATGAGTACAGATTTCCAGCACACTTTTCTTGTGTATAGTCAAAAATACAAAGGAAGGTGAAAACAAACAAAGTATATCTTAGGACTTGCTTGCAACATTTCCTGCAATTAATTAAAATATAATTTCTCTGTGTCATAAACATTAGACCAGGTTTTAATTTTTATTGAAAATTCATTAAATGTCAGATTTCAGATGCAGCAGCTGTCTCCTTAGCACCCATAAAATGTGTTTAGAATTCATGCTCATTAATATAATTTAATTCTCAAGATTGCTTTATTCACAGGGGCTGTTCTAGTCGTGCCTTTGTGTTATTTTACTTAAAGAAATTAGTACGGGAAGTAGGTATTGATTTGTCTACTGGTTTCCTACTATTCCTACTAGTTTTCTGCAGAAAACTGCTCTTACAGACTTCAGGCAGGGAAACCATAAGGCACCAATAGTGAAATCAGAAATCAGGAGACTAAAACAAAATGAGGTCAGAGCTGTGAAGTTTTGAGTGTGTTTTTTGGGTTTTTTTTTCATTTTTTGGATGTGTCATAGCCTATTATTTGGTACTATTCATCAATTCAAAGAAAATTTATCCTTGTATCATAACTTAAACAGTTATTACTGAGTAATTTATTTAAATATGAGCTCATATGTGAAGAGTTTTTTAGAAAGAGATTTCTCTCCTATAAATGTATGAATATACTACATTTGTACCACACTAAGTTATATAAATGCATTTTTTTCCTTTAGAATTAAAATGTTCACAAGGCAGTTCACGGTGAAATAACTATTTGGGGACTATTTTAGGAGGTTTGTAATGGTGGGCAAGTTCTTAATGCCAAGTCACTTTTCCTGCTTGAAACTCTTAAAAATCTGGTACTTTGTTGCCTGTTTCTAAGCGTCAAGTGACTTTTTCCGCTTGGTACTTTGTTGCTCTCCAACAAATTAGAGTGGAAATTTATTTTTACATAGTTAGGTTAAAAGACGGTTTTAATAGATTACCTTGACAGTGATACCCAGTTTGCCAAGTATCAAAAGAACCTCGTGCATAATTATGAAGGGAAGGACAGAAAAAGAAGGGTTTTTTTCTTAACTGAAAGACAGATGTGTTTCTTATTTTTTGATGTATGTTGCCTCTGGCCTCTGGGAGCCCTCAAACCAGCACATTTCAGAATATGAAAATAATTTAATCTAGGGCGTTCTGTTGGGACTGTTATCCCAGAGGTGATAGAAGGGTTTGTATTTGCTTAGTCCATTCTCAGGGTAATGTGGTTTTGGCTGATGTTTGTTGTGTTTTTTTTTCTCATAAGAAGTACTGTAATTGATCCTACTATACAGCATAGGAAAAAAACCCCAGAAAATTATAAAGCAGTACCAGAACCTCAGAAAACTTTATATAGACAATCTATTTCTGTTGGGAAGATAGAGGTAGTCTATAACAAGCTTTAACAGAGTTATCTTTAAAATGTTCCATATATAACAATCTATTTGCAAAGTAAGTAATTAACAAGTAAGTAATTAACATTTTTCTTTTCATTCTGTACTAGAACAGTTATTTGTGAAGTACTCTGAAGAGACTGTTTCCATTTATCAGTACCTAGGAAGTGTGTGGCTTGACAGAGAAGCTGTTAAAATGGTGTGTGAAAAGGGGCAAATTTTGGAACTCGGTATCCTCAGTTGCCAGCTCTAGTGGAGGCAGGTGGTTTTACGTTACAACTTGGTCCTCTTTCCTGTAAGATATGTGCCTCTTATCACCTTTAACCTGGCTGGATTCAGCCAATAGTATTTAGGTTGTTACTGTAGGAGGTTTTTATATAACATTAATTATAATTTCTCTGTGTATTCTCAGAACATAATCAGTGTTTCCAACTTGCTATAGTAATATGCAAGGAATGTTGCCCAACCCACTCCCTCAAGTTTATTTTGTTATTGGTTTGTTTATTAGTGGGATTTCGTTGTTTCAGACTTTCTGTCATACTAATCGTTGCATCTTTCAAAAGTTTATGTAATGTTGTGGTATTTAAAAGTATACGAAAAATATCAAATTGACAATACTTAGCATGGAAAGAATCACAGATGATTTTCAAGTTATCTCTTACAATTTCTTGCTTTGATTTCCAATGTGATATTTCTCAGAAATTATTTGCTGTAAGTCTGTGTATTGTAGTTTTACCTTTAGAACCCTTTCTCTGTTCCTTTGTTTGCAAAAATGTTAAGCTAGTTTAATCTGGCATGACTAACCTGTATTAATTCGTCATCTGTTAGATGAAGAAAAAGCTACTCTTACATGAGATAAGACATCTGCCAAAGAAACTTAAATCCCATGGAATTATGAACAGTTTATGTATTAGTGGAAGGTTTTCTTTGGCTATATTTATATAGTTTCTGTATATAAACAGAGTATAAATATTTATGTAGACTAATTAGCTGTTTTTTCTAATTTCCTGTGGTTAAAATGAAACAGATATTGGAGCTTTATTTTTTCTGACATATTCAAATTGATTGACTTAATATTTTTAAATGTCACAAACTTTCCAGACATCCTTAAACATTTAAAATCATAATTGAACTTTGTTTTTAAAATCTGAGGCAATAGATATTGTGTTGCTAAATATCAGTTGTTCACTATTTAAAAAAAAAATTATTGCAAAGTGGAGGTAAACTACAGTGATGCTGGTTTGACTAAACACATTTTTAGCTAGAAAATAATTAAAATACTTTCAGAGATATACTTTAATATTAATGTATTACACTTTTACCCCAGTATATATCCTCTTAGTTAGAAGCCCGGTAAGCTTCCTTTCTCTTTTATTTCTCCAGAATATAAACCAGAATATAATTTTATTTCTTCAGAATATAATAAGAATATATTTTAAATCTATTACCTTTAAATGTTCATGAGTTCTGATAGAATATATTGTGTTTGTGGAACACCTAAAATGAAGATGGCATGTAGCTAATCTTGAATAGAAGGATGCAGTACCATTTATAGGAGCTGCATTGGTGCAGTGGAGTTGTGAGCGAGAAGAAGGCTCTGGAGTAGCTTGTTGAAGTGAAGACAGCTTTGGGATGTTAAAATAAAGTACTTGGTGAGGAAAACCTACTTTAAGCTCACTTATACTTACATATTCCCAGCAATTTGCTAAAGAGCTCACTTGAGATATGAGTTTTAGGTTTTGCACATTAAACTTAAATTTTATTTTTCTACTATGTTTATGTGCATATGGTTTTATTCCCCCTAGTATATAATTTCCTCTCTTTGAAATTAAGAGCTTTAGTTTCACACTTGCTTTTATTTTTCTGTTTGCCATCTCAATGGCCACTGTTATGGCCTACAACCAATCTTCTATGATTTTTGTCTTTTCTAGCAAAAATATACCTAAAATAGTATTAATACTTCCTCGTTTAATGACTACATGATTTAAAATACCCCAACCATTTACATCTCCCATTTATATCTGGAAATAAAAGATTTCTAAACTTGGCTTAATGTAATTAATATTTATATCTTTTATATATATAAATATATATAATATGCGTAATTATATATATATACACAATTATACATATATATAATTAATAATTATATATACATATAATCAACTTTTTAATATTTCTCTACAGATAACCATTTATTGCAGATAATTTACGGTATTTGTGCTGTAGTTACAACTGGTTTTCCACTATGTTTTCTTGCTTGTAGTCCACTAAGCATGGGGATGAAAGGGGAAAGTGTTTTAGTCACGTGACTTGCTGCTGTTCAGTCCTGAAAGTCCTGTTGTATCTTTTGTAAGTGCTGGAAGGCACATAATTCAAAGTAGTCCATATGGATTACAGATGATAATATCCAGTATGATATCCTGCTTCTGCAGATCAAATTCATTCTATTGTCCAAATCCTTGGACTGGTACAAGCAAGCTTTCACTTTACACAGTTAAATGTGTAATATGTTCCTAAGGGCTAAATGTTTAGAATTATGAAGTTTCAGAATTTAGTTATGGAAGAAATTATTTGAAACTAGCTTTTTTCATAAATTTAAACTTCAGGGTATTTGAAGACCCACATAACTATTGTAGTGATCTTTATAGAGACAAAAATAAGGAAGTTTTAAGAAAAACTGTAACTTTCTCCTCCTTACTTCCTTGCATGTCCCTCTTTATGTTTTTTCTTACTTGAGGAGATCCACAATAACCTGCTCATCCCCTCCTGTGGACATGCTGGTTTTGTTTCTATTTGTGCACTACCAGCGGTTTCTTTATGTGCTTCCATTATATTGCTGCCTGCTTGGCATCTCATTCTCTCATCTATTTCTGATCTCTCTGTCCCATTGCAGAGTGCCTGGCAACATAACTTCTGCAGGAACAGGGCTTTAGGGACCTGTATAATACAAGATATGGAAAGAATGGTACCTGTATGCAAGTCACCATTGAAACTACTGACCCCTTGAGCTACTCTGCACATATATTCACAGAATTGTAAGGGTTGGAAGGGACCTGAAAGATCATCTATTTCCAGCTTCCCTGTCATGGGCAGGACACTAGACCAAGTTTCTCAAATTCCCATCCAACCTG